TTTATATTTTTTTCCTGGAATTTCAGGGTTTGTTATCAGCAGATTCTTCTAACAAGTACACGGTTCTTTATTCTTCAAGTCCTAAAACTCTGGCAAACATCACAAATGTTTGCCCATTTCTCCCCTTTTAATAAAAGAACAGAACATGACTTTTTTTCATTACTGTCATATCGTGTAGAGAAAAATGGAATTAAAACTGAAAAGAGAAAAACAGAACCTCCATCCAGCATTTTAAAAGTGACAATTACACAACCAGAGTCTATTAATTGGCTTCCATTTTGAGATGACAGTGAGCAAGCCAACACTCTCTTCTAACCTCATAAATATCTCCCATGCTCTGCCTCCTGCTTCTTTCTTTTGCATGCAGAGGTAGTCTAGGGAGAGCCTGCACTGCCTTTTACTACAGGTTCTGAAGAGAAAATGATTCTTCAGTATGGTATTTGGCATTACAACGCCACAATCTTACTCTGAAGATTAAAATATCACTGAAAAGGAACTCTGGGCAATGAGGTAAAATGTCAATGTTAAAGATCCCTGTTCCATTAAAATCTCTCTTTAAACATCACCAGGCAAAATGAACCACTGCTTTTCCATTTTACTTGCCAGGCTCCCAAACACATTCTCAGCAATGACCTCATGTTACAAATGGAAGACTTTAGTTATTCTTTTTTTTCCCTTTTTTCTTTTTTTTTTAAGATCTTAAGTTATTCTGAGGATCAAACAGTCTAAGAAATGGAGTTGGGAAGAACAAGGCTTTCTCAGCCTTATAGCTGAGAATGGCAAAGAAAGAAGATGTAGAAAATTGCAGGCAAAGTAAATTGTTTAGGTTTAAATGTCCCCTTTTTCAATATTGCTGCACTTTGAAGGAATTTACTGAGGCTGTAACTCTCCACCCTTAATTTATCCCCCTGTTCTCAGCCCCTGCAGCGTTTAAAACATGAAAATTGACTCCTTGTTCTGAAATCCCAAAGAAAGATAGTGCTCAAGTTTCAGATCCCTGGATACCAGAGAGGAATGTCAGGCCCACCCAAAACAGACTGAACAACATTTCAGAAGAAAGATCTTAGCTGTGTGGGATGGTTTTAGAATGTAGTCATCTTCAAGACACCATCTTTGAAGTCTTTTCCAAATGGCAGGTAAACTAGCTATACCTTCCCTTCTTAGGAAGCCTTTCTAAAATTAGGATGCTTTAGAAACAGACAACGGAACAGGTGATACCTCCAAGAAAAAGTGTGATTCATTAAATCAGGCAGGTTTATAAGCCCAATATTAAACAAAAACACAGAAGCAAAGGTTTGTGGGGAAAAAAAAGAGGGGATAATCTCACAACTATAATCTGGCTCTCAGGAGTCTGAAGACAACGGGTATATGGAGAATATCATTTGAGTGCCTACTCTAATGAAACAACCTGTGCTTTCACCATTAATGGCTGGCTGGTGGGTGACTACAGCACATGGGAGAGGTAGTTAAGGATACCAATAAGCTCCTGGATCAACTGAACACTTCTTTAATTTTTCTCGTTTACTATAGATGGCATGTAAATAATGCCACTCAGTCAGTATGTACTCCTCAAATAATGGCAAGGACAAATGTCTTTTTAAAAATCAATAACAAAATCCTTTTAATTTAGAGTTTAGTTTAATTTAGAATTGTCTTTAATCAACAACCAAATATCTTTAACAAATCAACAACAAAATCAAGAGCTACAGAACCTTTTCACCAGAGCAGTTTGGATGATGAACTTAGCAGACTGAAATAATTAGGTTTGGTTTTGGAGGAAAATTTGAAGGAGTCTAAAAGCAAATAACGTGGTCCAGTGGTCCAGACAATAGACTTAGATTCCATAACTTTAAAAATTACAATTAACATTGAATTTTAGGTTCTTATTATCTTTAACTAAAAACTTTGTATAGTGTTCAAGTTTTGGACTCATAAGATCACTAACATCATGGAAGACAGAATTTACTGTGACCAAGACAAACTAAAGAAATGGTCAAAAATTAAACAGATGAATATTGCCAAGTGTTGAGAAGTATACTTTGGCAGAAAAATGAAAAACTGTCTAGAATTCAGTGCTGCTTAAACATATGACCCTATGTGGGGTCGTGACCCACAGTTTAAGAAGTGGGCAGGGCTCCAGAGCAGAAAAAGTTTAAGAAGCCCTGGATACATACCAACAACAAAAAAGAAAAGGAAGAAAACAATGAAAACAACAACAATAGTGGAAGAAAAAAGAGGTTGAGGAAAAGGGTATGTCCCAGGGGGACTGAAAGCTAAATATTCAGCGTATGGTACTGCTCTAGAATACTGGCATACTGTAACCTGCACTTCCCACCACACTTGTACGTCGATGAGGGTACTGTATTCAGTTTAAGGCTTCAGAGGGTTACCCATGATTTATTTGGGAGAATCTAGAAGAAAACCTTTTGCCTGAACCCTGCTAGGTGCAATACTTTGGAGAGGCAAGGGGATTGACAGGATGGTCTTTTGAGAGCCTATAAAATTCCATTTAAAGCACAACTCATGTATTTTATTTTCAATAAAGGACAGACTATAATTTTCAAAGCTAATCAGTAGATCTCTTGAAGTCTGCTCTAGGGTATCTTTGTTAAAATATAAAAACTTTCTTCTATTATCATCTATATATCTTCCACCACATTTCTCAGGAACTAACTAGAAAATGAACAGCATGATAAATTCAGGTTATGCCTATAATCACAAAATGATATGCTCCAGTTCCATTGATTTTTAGTGTGTTAATAGCCAGTTGCTTTTCTGTTATTACTCTTGTTCTTCTAATGTATTATTTATTTATTAATTTGTAAACCACTTATTGCTGTAGCATCTAAGTGCTAAAGAACAAAAAGTTAAAAACATATAAATTATTCAAAGCTACCAAGTAAGGGAAGGGAAAAATGAAGATGAAAAAAAGATGACGACAACTTAATGCAGAACTACTACCAGGCAATCTAATAAATGAACTGCTTTCCAAATCAAGAAATAAAAACAAAATCATTTAAATCAAATGCAAAAACATTATATACTCTTAGTATACAAACCCTTACTGAACTCAAATAATATGCAGAGTCCTGTAACAGGGAGATAAAAAGATAAGATCAGATCCCTGCCCCTGAAGAGTTTACAATCTAGTATATACCTGTGCAAAGACCGCAGACACATACTTCTAGGGAATAGCGACCAGATGTCCTTAAGCTATAACTGTGGGGCTATAATACTGTTTTGTAAAATAAGAAATGTAACTAAGAAAATGGGAGGCTAACTGGTGGTAGAATTTTAAGCCTTGCTCTACGGAAATGCTTTCATCCAAACTGGACACCTTGCCATACTCAGATTTACGCTGTTCTCTTACACCTCTGCGATCATAATATCCCACATGACTGGAACCCACCCATCTTCTCCCTGTCCCCACAACCTCCACCCCTGGTAATATCTCATCTCTGATCTAATAAAACTATTCTAATGCTTTCTTTCCTGCAAGGCCCAGTTTAGGTATCACTTTTTCCCTATGAAGTGGCCCCTGATCCCTGAAAATTGAAGTGATCTCTCCCTTCAATGTGTAGGTCCTTAAATGCTTACTGAATGGGAATCCCTCCCCACAGAAAACAAAACCTATGTGCTTTTTTTCCCTTGATATTTAATCTACTTATTTTTAGTTTTCAACATTCGTGTCCATAAGATTTTGAGTTTTAAATTTTCTTCCCCTCTTCTTCCCCTTCCCAAAACAGCATGCAATCTAATATAGGCTCATACATTCATATTAAGCATATTTTCCCATTAGTCATGATGTAAAGAACAATTAGAACTAATGGGAGGAACCACGAGAATGAAACAATAAAACAAAACAAAGGGAAAGGAGAACAAATAGTATGCTTCCATCTGCCTTCAGACTCCATAGTTCTTTCTCTGGAAAACCTATGCTCTTAATAAAATTAAACCTTCAGTAACACAAAAAGTAAATTTCCTTCCGAATGCTTAGGTGGAGTTGACTTTTCAGGGCAGGGATTCTTAACTTTTTTTGAGACATGGACCTCTTCAGCAAACAGGTAAAGCTTAAGGATCCCTTCTTAGAATCAAGTTTTTAAATGCATAAAACACATAGGATTACAAAAGAAAGCAATTATATTGAAAAATACTTATTTACATGTTAAAAAAAAAAGCCCAAACAAGTTAAAAAACCCCAGGTTAAGAACTCCTAGGGTCTAAAGCCACTTTTCCAAAGCAGTTTGTTGATATTTACATATAATTACTTAAGTGACAAAAGCTGTCTAAATCACTATGGATGGATCTACATGTACATACATGTACATACACATATGTTCATAAGCTTTTGGGGGTTGCTTCTAGGTGAATTCTGCACCTAGTACTTTGCAAAATCCAGTTTCATAAACAGGGAGCCAAAGCCTCCCAGAGAACTATGCCAATTCAGCAAATATGTGGGAAATTTTTCTAAAGCAGCAGATCCTGGGCCATTCAAAACCTACTAGAATCATTCCAATTACCTTTGTATATAATAAGAAGTTCAACTTTAATCAGCAAGAGGAACCCTGATGTCATGGGTATTGAATGTCTCTATTTAGTTTCTTTAGCTTTCTATAGGCCTGTTGGTATCTCCTAGGGACCTCTTAAGTTACAGGGTATCTTTGTGGTTTAGAAGGTGACACAGGCCCTAAATAAGCACAGAGATGATGTGAACAATTAAAGATAGTAAAGATCTTCACTAAGCTAGGGATCAATATGAGAGTACAGCAAGGTCCTAGAATTAGCCCCATAAGGGTAAGCACCATTATAGCAAATTCTTCTAAAAAGAAAACAGACTTAATAAAATCAAACAAATATTTAGCCAGGGAAAGACGGACTAGTTGTGTCATCTTCTTTTTTAATTTGTTAATTCTAATAATGTTTACTAATTGGAAGTGCCTAAGTACACAGAAGAGACTGTGTTTTTCTTTTGGATGAATTCCTGTAAGAATATAACTTACTTGCAGGGCAGTTTAGTTTTGTCTGCTACCATGGTCCACTGCTGTTGATTGGTGGAAACTTCAATGTAGTAGCTGTAGCTTCGATCATCACAATCCCAAAGTAATAACCTGAACAGAGAGGAGAGCATTATTAGACATTAAGACACTATCAGAATAGAGGGAAAGTAGAAGACTAATGTGAACGGAGGCAGAGTGAAGAAAGCAGAACTATGAGAACAGACACAACTACAAAAATGTAACTAAAAACAAAACAAAACAAACAAACAAAAACCAACAGCCAAACACTAAGAGACCTCAAAAATCAGATGTAATGAGTAGTTGATGAAATATACTTCCCTCCTCTCTGTACAGAGGTGGCAATCTACAGATGTAGCATGTTCTACAGGCTTCTAGAAATGGTTATTTTGTCAACTGGTTTTGCTTAGCTAATTTTTTTTAAATAAAAAAAAGAAGAAGGGATAAAGAAGAGATCTAAGGCAGGGGGGTGAGGGTTACTGGGAAATGCCTATGGTATAAAAACATAAATTGTCAATAAGATTTTTTTTTTAAATACAGAGGTGGTCAGGAAGATGTTCATGAAACCAGGGTCTTCCTCATCTGATTGCTGCAAGAGGCTTTAGTCATGGAGAACAGCCACATTTACAGAGACCCATTCTTCCCTATAACACTATCAGGATAAGACACCTAGAGAATAAATAGCAAGGGGAAAAGGAAGGGCAGCCCCCCCCCCAAAAAAAAAGTATAAAGAAGGAATGGAGGTGATTCAGTGTGAGAAAATGGGTCTCAGCAGTAACTGTTAACCCTATAACAATCTACGGAGGCAAAAATGTTACTCCAAGAATAGAGGGAATGCCTTATTCTCAGGTGTCTCACAGTTCTGCTTTTTGAATCTCTCATCCCTAGGTGGTAAAGGAGCTGAATATATGGATGAAATCAGACCTGACTGCCCCTAGTGACTCTTAGGCCTTCATTCCAAATACTCAGGGTAGAAAATTTAAGTGATCCTAGGGATAAACAACAACAACAATACTGGTCATCAGAGGCTCTTGCCCTCTATTTTGTGACATTTAGGATGATTTTTACCATGGTCTTCCCAAATATTTTTCATCCATAAAGTATGCAAAGGCTTACCAAAGATTCAAGTTTAGGTAAAACTTGAATCTTTGGTAAGTCTTTGCATACATGGTCCCAAACACAGAATCTCTGGTTTAAAAAAAAGATATCAAATATGTTTATTTGGAAGCTGATTATACAAAAATTTTAGCTTTTCCTCCACAGATAAAGAACATTAAGACTACTGTTCAGGGTAAGACCTATAATCCATACAAAGCACGTTCTGGATCTGACATTTCTATCCAAACTAGCACTCTGAATCTGACATTTGCCAAAGAACATGTCCTATTCAAAAGCAGGGTGGTTCTTGCCATCACTCTCATGCTGTTTTTCCTTAATAGCCCATCATCAATCTGTAATAGAAAAGGAACTGCCCCAAGAGTCAGAAGACCTAAGTTCTATTTTTTTAGTCTTGGTTACGCCACTAAATAGTGACATGAACTTCGTTGGCAAATCAGTTTCCTTCTCTGGTTACAACTTCCTTTTCTGTAAATTACAGCATCACAAGAATTTCAGAGTTGGAAGTACCTCAGCAACCATCTAGTCCAAATCATCCATTAAAGGACTTTTTGTTCAGTCATTTAGTTATGTCTGACTCTTTGTGACCATATGGGCCCCAGCACACCAGACCCGCTATCTTCTACTCTCTCTCTTGAAGACTGAGCAAGTTCATGTTTATTGTTTCCATGACACTACCTATCCATCTCAACCTCTGCTGTCTCTTCTTTTGTCTTCAATCTTTACAAATATCACAGTGGTTGGAGCCCTAGCCCCTTTAATCTTCTCATTCTGCTTTTCCAAAGCTGGAATTATCAGGTAATTTTCTGATACTGAACCTAAATCTGTGTCTTCATAACCTCCACAGGTTGCTCATGGTTTTGACCTCTGAGGTCAAACAGAACATGTCTTCACATGACATCCTACAAACATGAAGACAGTGATCATCTCTTCCTTGAGTTTTCTCTTCTCCAAGTGAAACATGCCCAGATTTTTCAACCAATTTTCATATGACATGGACTCAAAGCCCTTCATCACCCTAACTGCTTTCCTTTGTTCTCCAGATTACCAATATCCCTTTTAAGCCAAGGCCCTCAGAACTTAATACAACACTACAGATGAGGTCTGATGAGGGTATAGGATGCAGCAGGACCTCAGCTCCTTATTCTTAGAAGCCCTGCCCCTTTTAGCTTGAAGTCCATCAAAACCTCCAGATCTTTTTCAGAACAACTGCTATCTTTAGGCCTTCCCTAAGTTATACTTAAGAAGCTGATTATTTTTGTTTACCCAAATGCAAGACTAGCCTCTATCTTTGTTGAATTTCATCTTATTTAGATTCAGCTCAAGCTCTAGCCCAGGATCCTTCTGTATTCCAATTTTGTTATCCACTCAGTTAGCTTTCCCTACCAAATAGGTGTTATCTGCAAATCTGAGGAGTATATCATAGAGGCACTGATAGAGATGATAAACAGCATAGGGCCAAACAGTGATCCTTGCAGTATTCCACTTGAGACCTCCTACATTAAGACATTAAGCCATGAATAACTACTTTTTGATTCTGGCTATCCAACTAGTTCTGAATCCATTGCATTAAGTTATATCTACATCATTACCTTCATCTATTAGTTTTACAATTCTGTCAAAAAAGGAAAAGAGGTTAGTCTCTCAAGACTTGCTTTTAATAAAGCCAGGCCAGCTCATTGTAATCAGCTCTTTCCTTTCCAGATGTTTACCAACTATCAATTTATTATGTTCTAGAATTTTTCCAGAAATAGATGTCAAGCTTGTTGGCATATAGTTTGCAGACTATGTTCTTCCTTTTTTTTTTTTGAAAATTTGCCCTTCTCCAGTATTATGGAGGCAGTTTAGTAGGTAGAGTAGGTACACTGCTGGGCCTGGAGTCAGGAAGATCTGAGTTCAAATCTAGCCTCAGACACTTACTAGCTATGTGGCCCTGGGCAAGTCACTTAACTTCAGCTTTGCCTTAATCCACTGGAGAAGGAAGTAGTAAACCACCCTAATTTATCTCTGCCAATTAAACTCCATATGGAGTCATGATGTTAGACAGGACTTGAATGATTGAACAACAAAATATTGTGGTACCTCTCCTGTTCTTCTCTCTATTGCTAATTATTGTCCTTTCCATTCTAAGCAAAGCTTTAGATTAGATGATTTCTTCCAGATCAAAAATGGTGTGAATGTATGAACTTATTTGATGCTACTTATTCTTAGCCTATGAGATGAAGCCATGGTGTGGTTGAGAGCAGGCCCTGGAGTCATACCTGGGTGCAGGCTGCTTCTGACATATAATGGTTGTGTGACCTTGAAAAAGGCACATAAACTTTCAATGTCCTAACCTCTATAACCTTAAGCTGTAGATAAGGTCCTGATATGCACTGGTAGAGGGAATTTCCTTATTGTATATAATATTGCTTATGCCAGTGAAACTAGACAGGTCTAGTCTAAAATTAAAATGAAAATTTCAGTCTTAGATTAAGGAAATCCTCAAGTCTTGAAGACACTGAGTATGGTGTTATTTCCTTTTATTTATTTACCTCAAACCTAATTTCTCTCCAACTTTAAGGAATATTTCCTTATGCTAATATTCTGGAATCATTATCTTTGTTGGTCTGTAGCAATCAGAACAGCATACTGTATCCCAAACACGGACACCCCATCATTTTGTACAAAGCTAGGATCATGTTTGCTGCTGTTTTTGCACAAAGTTTTTCAATTTCCTTTTGTGTGTTGTTTCCCCCATTAGATTGTAAGCTCCTAGGGGACAGGGACTCCTTCTTTTTCTTATTTGCATCCCCAGTGCTTAGCACAGTACCTGGTACATAGTAGGTGTGTACTGAATTTGTTACTGAATATGATATACTGCATACCAGAGTCAGAAGTCAATGAATATTTGTAAAGCACCTACTGTGCACCAGGCACTGTGCTAAGTGCTGAGGATACAAAGAAAGGTATAAGATAGGGATGTCTGGATGGTGGTAGTAGAAGAAAGGAGGTTAAGGGCACTCGAGAGCATGATGAAGTCATACAGCCTGAGTGGGAAAAATCTGAGGAGATGTGAGTTTCTGAGTTCATTTCATTTTGCAGAATGATGAGTTTCTGGAGATGATGGAGTCTAGGAATGTAGCTGGGTAGCAAATGACAAGAATTCCCTGGCACCATTCTTAAATGGAAAAGGATCAGGGAAGAGCTCACAGATAGCCACCTCCCAACGTCTCTAATCAAAGGGATGGCTGGAGGGGTCTCAGTACTAGGGGGTGCTTCTCTAGTCAAAGTACCTTCTGATGCTCAATTCTCATGACACTTTGCTTGTACCTCTCTTATGAACTTGTGCTCCTTTCATTATAATAGTTGTTTGTGTATACATGTATTATTCCTTCCAGTAGAGATGATATGGTGTGGTGCATAGAGAGTCAGACTTGGAGTAAGAAAGACTTGGGTTCAAGCTCAATCTTTCTCTCTCTCTCTCTCTCTCTCTCTCTCTCTCTCTCTCTCTCACACACACACACACACACACACACACACACACACACACACGCATGCACACACTGCAAGAACCTGAGCAAGATGTGAGGAAAGCAGCTAAGTGCTGATGTGGCTAACGCCAACACCATGTTAACCTTTGTTGGTCATATCAATGTGTTAGACTGTCTTCAGGGAAAAGTCTGCAATGACTCTCAGGCTCCTTTCTTGAGTCATAACTATTACTTTTTGGAACTTATTAATCTAGAAATATAGTGATTTGGATTATTTTTTGCTAATTATTTTAATGGAATTTTAGCCCACAATGAAAATACTTTCCCACTCTTCTACTTCACTCTACTCCCTACTTCCTTTGCCAGCTTTTAAGAATATATGTAAAATTTCTCTATTAAGACAATGCCAACTATAAATTTTAAGACTTTATTGTGCACAATTGTCCATGCAATTTACCAATCCGTTAGATCTAAATTCTATTCTCATACTGATTCCTAGGCATC